TCACCATCAGTAAAAAGAAATTCTTTACGTCTTTCACGTTTTGCTTGTAATAAACATTGAATTTGTTGTGCTGCGACAGATAGAACAGGTAAATTTATTCGATTAAATCTAATTTATTTATTATAGATAAATATACAATAATCTATAGAAAGAAAGAAAAAATGATTTTCTTACTCATCAAAACATCCCCAACAACCACTTATTGCTAAACCTTTAAATGTTTTACCAAGACCACGATAATCAAATTGATCAGAACAATTTTGTACGATACAATATTTTCCTAATGTTCGAGCCATATCTTTGGTTGTTTCTGTTTTGCCTGTTCCAGCTAAAAAAAAATCATAAAATTAATATTTAAAAAGGATTTTTTCATGTTTCATACGATGGACAAACTTGGATTTTATTTTTAGAGTAATCAATTTTTCTTTAGTAAGATATAAAACTTGATATACCGGTTTCTCCATAACAATGAGAAATCGAGAACTGAACTTCATCACTAATAGATGTAACGTACATGTTGTTATTAGAGCACTTTATTTCTGAATTTTTTTTTGTTTATGAGCATTTGATGTGTTAGTATAACTCTAGACTAGTGCTTGGCGTGACCAACTGTTTTGGTCACGGTGAGTCAAGCCCGTGACTGTGTTCGTTAGTCATGGCCCTACTTTTTGGTTCCTTAACGTAAAAAAACTTTTCAGAAAAAGCTATTGCAAAATTTCCATTGGCTATTAAAAGTAATGACTGCAAGTAGGAAATAGCCTGTGAAGATCGCCCTGTCCATCCTCAGTGCTGAACCCCTGAATGTTCTCGCCTATTTTAATATCCGTGATCAAGCTTCAGTCACGGTGGTCACGCCGGGCACTAACTCTAGACATATCAATAGGAATGGCGACTCTAATAAGTTCTGATAGATCTTAATGAATTATTTCAAGTTTAGTGTGAGCTTAGTATACTATCTTAAAAATACTTAACTCATCATATTCCTACAGATCCTATAAATGAATTACAAGATGATTCAAAACCTTTATATTTATGACAACGGATTCATTTCTAGG